GTTGACACTCAACACTTATCTAGTTGGAAGAGAACTTACTGATTGGTTCCCCGTCTGTCTTATAACCTGGCCAATTTTGTGACCTGTTCACTTGGTCTGATGAAGCTTTTGTGTCAAAAGCGAAACGTTGCCCAAATAAAAACTACCGATTGTTTACCAAGCTCTTCTGAAATATTTTCTTTAATTTTCAGATCGCGTTTATCATACTGGTGCTCTCGATTGTCGTTTCGAGCATGGCCAGAGAAATGGGGCCACTCGTCTCCTGTTATTCCCGGTGTGTTGAAGCAATGCTAAAATGTAATGCTGATTGTAAGAAACTCGAAGGTCAGCCTGTCCACGACTGCAGACGTGATTGCCAAGCTGTGTCGGTCAAATGCGTGGATGAGTGTAGAAAATTACACTACAGCGTATCGCCCCTTTTTAGAATGTAGTTGTGCCACAAGTGTGTTGTTTCACATTAAGCTACTCTGATTAAATGATAAATCCAACTTGCTGTTTTATGTTTCATGGATTGAATCGCATGCTGACGCTTCGAAATGACAAATATGCCAAAAAAGCAAATTGTACCACACGATTACGAATGGCAGATATATTTGACCGTATGCATGGGTGCCATTTATAAGTAGAGAGAGGAGAAATCATACGTTAATAGGTGAGGAAACCATAATGTTGCTGAGCGCATCCAAAATCCTAGGAATATAATGAAGGTTCGGTTGTCAATCAAATGTTTTGGGTTCAAAGCCCTGCTTGTCCGAATATATGCACTTCCGATTAGCTCTGATAATCAAGCAAGTTTATCTTTACCTGGTTCGGAATAGAATGGCCAAAATAATTACGCAGGGGCGCGTGTTCAGACGAAAGTCTGCGGAATTGAAATAGTACTATTATTTAAATGAGACGGTTTTCTGCAAGAACCGCGCGCGAAATGATGGACAAAGTATACTTAACACGATCTCAAATTTGCTCTTAATGATAATGCAAAATGGAGTTGTTTCCTGGAATCTCACTGAACGAGCAACATGTTTGGTTGGATACTGTCAAATGTTTGGCTGTTATCGTGACGCTAAGTCAGGAAAGCTGGCCTGTTATCGTGACGCTAAGTCAGGAAAGCTGACCGATTTCCAACAGATTTTACGCTGCGAATAATCTCAGTTTTATACCTCAGCGGAATACAGATGCATGCGTGGAACCGTGGTTAAGGCATAGCAGTGACCCTAGTTTAACAACAAGTTATAGAGGGGACACAACCTTCCTGAGGACCGAAGTTCATCTGTTTTCATCCGAAGAAAAAAAAACCGGGACATGACAAAAAACGGAACCGGTCAATCCGTGAGCGGTGGGTGACCAGAAGTAATTAAGTTTCTAGCACTAATGTAAAAAGATTGATCATTATGGAGTGATCAGTTACTGTTAGGATGGTAAAGATAAACGAATGCCTACAATGCTATGAAAAAGGCATCCATGCGGACCTCCCGATGCTAGTTCAGGAGTCCAAGGGTGTGACAGATTCGCAAACTGAGTTTAGTGATCAGTATTTTCCCAAGCTGATGTTCTCAAACAACTTGCGGTAGGTACACTGGTATCGGGCTTGCACCTGCAATTTTGCTTTCGAAATTTATTTAACATAATACTCAATACACAAGCCCGGACGGATAGGAAGGCTTAATCTATCAGCAAATTTGGAAGTGCATCACTCTGACTTTCATCAGAGCCGCCAAAATAAAGCGCGCTGTGGGAAAGGATCGCAAGACGTATTTCAGTATGATATGTAACTCTGAGCTGGTATTCGAAAGGAAATTGTTACACTGAAAGTGCAGTCAGGTGTCAGAACGATTTCTCGGAGAATAACTCGTGGCGGAACGACAACGAGTTTTTTTCATAGCGCGCATGGGCAGCGAGGATACCACATGAAAGGAGAACCGACTGAAATATTCACAGTGATTGGGATGATCTCTAGGTGAAGCCTGATATATTCGAAAGATGTGGAGTACTACCCAAGAAGACTGAACATAAATTAAGACAAATAATTTGCCAAAAATGACTCACTAGTGGAATTTGCTGACTAGATCAACGGCGCCTTCCGAGCCTTACACGAAATCCCACACCCGAAGTCACTCGCTGCGAACTACGCTACGTCTGATTCATATATGTCCAGCCACGGGAAGTTTCCTGTTTACAGTTTCCAGCAACAGAAATTAACTTGATACCCGTGCAGCTAGAGGATACACAGGCACTATTGAGTAGGAGGCCAAATAGGAATTCGATCCATGAGTGGTGCTATCGGCAGCTCTTACTTTGAAACACGAACAACCACAAGCCGTCCCTATCCAAGAAAGTGTTCAGTACGCCGGTACATAGGATGGCCAGTTCTTCAAACAATTCGCTGCGATTATCCGCGCCGCAAGCTGCTATCCTGAGCACACATACACATGCATACACTCACCACTCCCTCACAGTACTCTCAAGTCCCATGTGTTCAGCGGTGCCAGACCGGACATCCGGTAATGGCGAATGTCACACAAAATGTGAACGTAGGTTTCAGCAATAATGATCTAGAAGGCAACCTCAGAACTGCCTCATAATCGAGTGCAATTGAACTGTTTGGTGAGCGCGAAGTAGGTTCTTGTTGGATATGTAGTCAATTTTGTCTACTTCGACGGTCTCGCAATTGACGCCAAATGCACCGAACGATTGGTCAGAACTTACTCGATTGCGGTCCCTGTAGATGTGTCAACTTTGGCACCGCATAATAGCCTTGCTAGGTTTTATCTGTCGCAGTTTATATTCGCAAATGTTTTGCTGGTGCCGTTTTAGAAGGACTATTGCTAACTACAGAGAAGAACTCAAACTGGTCATATTCTACAGGTAGTGCAGTTTTGTTTTTTAAATATTTTTCACATCAAAATAAAAATTTCACACTTTTTATTCGATTTGAAGCCCTTTGGACCCACCATTTTAATGCACATTTTGTGGAGTTCTGTTAGATTTTCAATTTTCCCCTGCAGTGTGATTTGTTACTGAGATAGGGAAAATTTAATCATGCGTTCCCGTTAGTTGCAATGCACCAAAACCATACAAAGTTTTTGCCATACTCAACTCCTATTTGATCGACAAAAGTGCGGGGATGAAACATGATCTGCTCAAACGTTGTATTATTTAGGATGGAATAAGGCTTTTGCAAACGTCGGCCCTGTTGGTCAATGTTTGGCACGTGACACAACCTGTTAGGTGGACGGTAAAAACTAATCCGATGTTCGCCTCTATTCACTTACTTCAAAGTTAATGACTTCTGTATGAGTTCTGTTTATTCAGACCACGTTATAAGTTGTTCAGTAGTTTGCATCTATAAAGAAGAGGTGAAGTGAAATGGAGCTTGTAATTTTTAACGATGAGCTATACTGACTTGATTTTCTAACGCATAACATCCTGGGTCATCTGATTCCGCAATACTGTTCCATCTCCAGCGGCTGGCCCTTCACTTTGATAATATTCCACAACACTAATTCGAAGTTCGTCAAAGATTTCCTTGTTTTAACGCAAATATTTCAGTGTCGTATCCAGTATGTGAATAGTGGGCTGGATTATGAGCAAAAACCTGCATCAGACCTTATCATTTATATCACCGACTAACAGGAACGATCTTCTGCGACAAATGAGAGTCTGTTTCAACGATATTCTGTGAGCGAGTGATATAACTATTACAGCTAACGAAAAACGGAAGGAGGAACAACAACGAATCATGCGTCTACCAAAAATTCGTGTGTAAGCAAGCTACGGAATTGCGAATTTACATGCTATGTCGATAACCGATGAATTTATGACTAGTTTTAACACTCTGGGCTGCCTTCTAGCATTCAAAAAATATGCTGTGAAAAACCATAAACGCTTGCGTCCATGAGGTGTTGTGGATTCATAAACTAAGTAAATACCAATCGCATAATATCAGACGACAACTGAGATATTTCCGTCTTTTGTTCACTGGTTAGACTCAAAGTTATTCGTAAATACCTACACTTAAACTGGGAGAAACTAGAAGCCGTGTTCCGATGGGTCTCATAAGTCGCTAAGCTGAGGATGCATCTTCAAACTTTTTCGGTGTTGTGGCCTGAATACGCTCGGATTGAAGACCTAAATTTAGTCCGCCAAACAGGCCTCTATGTGAAATCATTTAGGCGATTTCTGCTTTGGATAGTGCGCCTCTCAGGAACATTTTGCTGTCAGTTGTAATCATCAAGCTTAGGTGTTGGAGGAAAACCCATTAGGGAGCACTCCCACCAATAAGACGATTTTTTAGGCACGAAGTTTGTTCCCATTACGAGCCTCCTTACGAGGAAAAAACTCGGAAACAAAAACGTTGGATTTGCTGATCAACCGAATGTACAATGATGGGAATTTCCTGCGGCCGATTCGTTGTTGATTGTTGTGCCAGTGATCCTAACTCCAAAGTGTCACCACTACACAAAATGACCCTATTACTTAATAATGTTTAGCGGGATTCCACATGTATTACTCAACAACACAGACTTGATGCATCTAGCATACCCTTCGTCAAATTATTTAGCGGTTTGACCATCACGTGAAGGTAATGCGGCCAAATAGTTGAATAAGGCAACGTACACACTCCAATAACTCCCCAGTTTTCAGTAATCATCAATATTCCCGACGATGTGTACTTATATACCTTTTTTAGAACCATGCGTCGACAAATATAAAGTAGAGAAGATGAAGGGCTTCCATGACTGTAGCCCAGATTCTTATCGTTGTCAATATTTCAACGATCAGTGAACTTTCCTACAGCACGTGTATATCTCACCAACGAAGTTGTGCAAAGTATACTGTTTTTCGTTAACTGGAGTGTGTAACAGACCACATAAGACAGTTACACTACCTAATTACTTTCAAGTTTATTTCTAATTTGACTGGAAACTATTTCAAAGACAGCCAATGTTCTTACAAAGAGGGCATATCAGTCTGACACAATGACCAATTTGCTCTCGCTGCTAGCGTATTCGTGATTTTATGTGTAGCACACTGGGATTAGGTGATACCCTATAGTTCAGCTTACTTAACATGCAATCCGCAATATTGCCATCAAATCTACGATCACAGTGGTGTGTTCGTTTATTTTCAAAACAAAGTTTTATTGGTTTTTCATGGCAAGAGCTTTTCATAAATATTTTCAGCTGGTCAGTAGTAGCATAATGAAAAGTAGAAGTGAAGTTCACTGAGCAAATCGGAGCCTTAGGTCTAGCAACAAAATACTCTGGAGCACCGACCCAACAATTAATTCTATCATACATCATTTCCATTCAAGCATCGTGAGGGATTTACGGAATGATTTTACATTCATCGTAATCAAAATAGCACTAAATTATTCAATAGGTGTTTTGCTTTTGAGTTTAAATTTCTGACTGACCAAAAGTGTCAGAGCGCTATAGAAGCACTGTAAAAACGGTGGTTTGGATCTGTGAGAGCGACGTAGAATGTTTGTATCACCAGATCATTTACAGAAAACTCAGAAAGGACTAGATTATGTAACCTTATAGATTTTCTTTAAAAGAAAAGTGTCGGGGAACTCCAAGTACACGCAGATGTGACAGTTTTCTGCGAAATGCACTGATTAATTCAGCATTTGTCTCGGATACAAGTAGAGATCTTGCCTCTGCACCATCGACTGCATGCTTGTTTGGGCGTCTTGATTGTGCGGCACTGATTGTTACACTTTGGCATCTTCTTCCAGCACCTAGCAACACATTTATTATGAACATTGGTGGCCTCTATCAGAACTGTGCAGCCGATCACGAGAACAAGAGTAAAGATTCCAAGCTGAAAGTAGAACAAACAGAATGCGTTAATTTGGGTCACCATCTACCACAGTGAATTGTCTTACACAAAAATATTAAAAAATGACAGAAAGTAAAAGAAACACTGATACGTTCTGCTATTTATGGTTTCCAAAAGCCTTGGTGACATTTGTCGAAACCTGCGCTACTTAAGCAAAATGTCACGCTTGTTTTTTAGAGTGGCATAGCAGTATCCACTTAGTTGAAAGCACACGGTTTTCACTGCAGCAGTGATACTTCAGGACGGGATATAGGTTTCAACCCTAATCCAAAATAAATTCTAAGTGTACATTTAAGAGTAAGAAGCCTATCTGTATCTCCGGCGAACACTGCGTGCATGCGTACCGGTATTTCAACACTTTCTAACAAGCTATCCTAAACTATCTTAGTTTTAGGATGAAAGTGTCTATGACGGGCAGGAAATAACTTCAAACGCTAGATGACCAATAGTTGGTGTGTAGGTCCCAACATTTGTCGAAACCTGCGCTACTTAAGCAAAATGTCACGCTTGTTTTTTAGAGTGGCATAGCAGTATCCACTTAGTTGAAAGCACACGGTTTTCACTGCAGCAGTGATACTTCAGGACGGGATATAGGTTTCAACCCTAATCCAAAATAAATTCTAAGTGTACATTTAAGAGTAAGAAGCCTATCTGTATCTCCGGCGAACACTGCGTGCATGCGTACCGGTATTTCAACACTTTCTAACAAGCTATCCTAAACTATCTTAGTTTTAGGATGAAAGTGTCTATGACGGGCAGGAAATAACTTCAAACGCTAGATGACCAATAGTTGGTGTTACGTGTAGGTCCCAATTGACTAGTGACAACCATGTCTGTTTCCTCTTCAGGTCAATTAAAACAGAAAACCAAAGCGTATTCCTCAAATATTTCACTCACCTTCATGTTAAACAGGGTCATCAAGATGACGCTTACAGATGATGCCCATTGGGTATCCAACTAACGCTTATATACCCATCCGCTTGTTGTAACCGTAATTGCCCTGTCTGCTTCCGGAGTTATTTTCGATCGTTAGTCGCCAGACAAGCTGAACATATCAAGACAGAAGACTTATGATACTGCAGTTTAGCACTTTTGTCCATTAGTGACGACCTGAAAACTATTATCCCATCAGGAATACTCAAAAGGCATCAATCAAGAATTCCTCCCGAAATAAAACTAAAAAGGATAGTTTCCTGATCCCAACACTGTTCCGTCAGACAATAAAACAGTGATCCCGAAAATCGCTTGTATACAGAACCATGTTGTGCTTTTATGTATAACCCTATGAATGATTTCGCATGTATAGAGGTTTGCATAACGTGTCTAACAGTACTGTCCTACTCTACAAATTGAATATTCTGTATTGTACTAAAACTTTGAATGGATCAACTAGTCAGGAATGAAAACGCACATATTTACCAGTGATATGAAGTTTACTAAATTCTCAGCGCTTGAAAAGTCACTGAGGGCACCTCCATTCCATTTATGCCCATTCACCGTGATGAATGAGCGCCTGAGCATGGCATCTACTTTTAGACTTTCTTTGTCGTAGACACTTTGAATCCTGACGCACTTCCGCCTTCCGTTTACCCACTGGTCGTCACCGTTGTTATCAGACATGCCACGCAGAAAACGCACTGTGAATCTCAGTTTGCCATTTAGTAGCGTTGCACATCAACAATTCAAGATTGCACATTGAAAGCTGCGATCATTTATTGGTTCACAATCTTGATGGAGAGATACGGTTCCAGAGGGTTGCGTTTCACATTACCAAAGAGTGAGAAAGTTGAAATGCCGTGATTGATCTAGTTTACTTGATTTCTGACACTTGGACTGATACTGAACTAGTGCAATAAACGACGTTTTTCTAAGCTCGACCCGGACTCACTCCACTGACTTGTTCAACAAAGCGGGAAAGCTCCCAACAACAAATAGCACACTGAAAAGAAGAGTTTTCGTGCATATTTACCTTTCAGGATTGCTACAAAATTCCACTGCATTTTGTACACAATTAACTGCATTAAGGATTCCGATCCCGACCAGTCACTATTGCTGATCCCTGTGTAAATTACGCTTCAGATTTACAATGTATTTCCGTAAAGCATAATTTTCCAGTAAATGAATGGCTGGTAAAGTTGAAAATTTAACCACACTCCATGTATATGTTGGGTCTGGTGTTTAAGTTGACATTATGTGGGTTATTGTGGAAACCACATCATTGCTATCTGGAGTAGACTAGAAATAATGAGTGTGTCAATTTTCACTTCCTGTGTCGCATTTTTTTAGTCTATATCCGGTTCCTCCGACTTAAATGGTCCTCGCTTTTGTTGCCCGGATGTGCGAGATGCGGCTAACTGCTGATCAAATTTATTTGCAAGAATGACGTTTTATTGCGTGGAAGCAGCTAGACCAGGCATTCAAATTTTTTTACTTTGGAAGCAGAGTAATGCAAATAGTCGCTGTTTCTAGAGGCTTGCAAGTCTGTTCAGGCCAGGTGGAACAGGTAAAACCGGTGGGAAATAACGTTCATGCCATGAAAAGTTTGATGTTCCGACCTGCTGGTAAAAGATGGTCACTAGACGGGATGTCACTGACGGGAGTACTTTATACTTTGAATTCTGCTGTTATTTTTCAAATCCACACATGAAAGACACATTTTCCATGCCATGTCTTGGTACAATACAGCACACTACCATCTAGTATAACAATGGATGAAGATACAGTCCACCCAAATGAAAGGTCAAAAACCCAGGTAAGCTGACAACCTAGAAAAAGATCTCGGATTCTCCTATAAAATTTGCTTTAGTGTGTTCAGTCAATTACAATGGTCTGTCACGCGTATAGTGTAAACTGCAAATCATTTTGCTTAGGTCGTGATTTCGCTTCTGTTAAACGAACCACCGTAGGAGAAACAAACACAATCAAACTACTGTCAGAACCCAACCATAAATCTCCACATTTTCTCGAACATTGGACTGTTCAAGCGTCTCACATAATCTGCTGATAATAAACACGACACAAGGTGGAAATGCAGTTCCTTCAAAGTCATTAATGCCAGCGATTACTTTGTGCATGGTAAGACATTTCGTTGTGTATAAAGGAACACTTCTAAAACGTAGTAGGCTAATTAAAAGCCGCTCCGTTTAACACAATTTAACGGGTGATCTATTTGTAACCGCCTTTATGGAGGCAATACGTTTTTGGATTCGGTATAGGCAGGTTTGACTGTGGCAGGCCAGCTAATCAAATGCTTCGCAGCCATAATTCTAAGGGTTGTCGTTTTAACGCGATTATCAAGTATGTAGCCAGGTGCAGTTGGTTTCAGTGTGATAGTCTTTTTGCAGGCATTTGCTTTTAGGTAAGTAAAATTTAATTGCTAGCACAAAAGCGCTAGTATATGGGTTCGTATGATCTGTTCTTGCGGTTCTTGCACTTGTAAGCCGTTGCAGCTGTGTGTGCACAAATTTATTTATCAAAATATTTGGGTTGCCGCGGTATACACCTCACACACTACTAAATTAAAAAAAACGGCACTATTCTTTTGCCTTTCATTCTTCTATATCAATCTTATTTGCCATGACACTACGGGGTGGAACAACGCATTATTAATGAGTAGTACCAAATTTTGGGAATTAGGAAGTATTTAAAAATAATGAATTAAAATGTCAAGTGGCAAAAATATCACGAATAATAAAAAAATAATCGGCCCAGTTAAATTTAGTTGTGTTGGTTTCCATTCTTTTTATCGCCAATCACATTCCATTTGTTCATAACCTATCGATCTTGAATTTGTTATCGAATCGTACTGACAAACGGAGCCTGGTACTAGAGGTTTTTTAAACCAAAGGTTATTGCCACTACTTCTGTCACTCACAAAACAAAGCGATGAGAAAAACAGTGATTACTGTTTCAAGGATAGCGTATTCGATTGCCATAAAACAAGTGAAATTACCCGTTGATGATATTTTAAAAACTGAAAAAAGGAAATTTTAATTTCCAATTGAGATTTAGCTCTGTAGGTGAGGTTGTTCTTTGCTAAAATGCTGAGAAGCCCCGTGCAGCTGATTCATTCTTCATTCATTCACTGAGCATTATACAAAACTCAATGGCGTTTCAAAGCCGCAAAATTCCTGCTAGTAGTCGGAACACTGGACATTTTGTTAACGAAGGTTGAACGACATTGTGATTGCCTCGCGATTTAGAGCCATTCGTTGTTCAGTTGCGGAAGTCACATCACCTGGATGCGTGTTGACTAGTGACAAGGGCTCATAGGGAAGCCTCCATCACGTTACGAAAACTTTTTCCGAGCTATTTGTAGATAGGAGATTTCGCATATCTTGCATCTTTGTTGGTTTACGTACCAGAGAACAGCAAATCGGGTTGAAAAGGCGAGCTACAGCTAGAACTGTTCCTGTTCTCTTAGATAGTGAGCATAACGGAATACCTCAGAGACGGCCGACATTATTAAACACGCTGAATGTTGCGCTTTACAGAGTATTCACAGAACAAAAGTACGACTAGCAACAAGATGGATATTATATCTTTGTAATGTACTACTCATAAGGCTGCTGAGACATTATAAACGAGAGATTCAGCTGGGTTCCAGGTGAGTCTCTCGGAAGAACCAAATTAGTTTGCAAATGAGTGTATATTCGCTAAGATGGATATTAGATTTGACAGACTTCTGCCCACATCCTTTGGACTTTCACCGCATAAAGCAAAATATTTATTCCGTATTAATTCGGCTTATTCGGTGTAGGTGGAAAAACACCACACATTCTTGTGAAGGGTGTTAGCAACAATTTGATACAGAGGACAACAGAGTGTGGGTAATTTTCCGAAGTCCTCTGACTTTTTTTATATCGGTGAAGTAGGAGGAGGGTGATCAAATAATATGGATCACCCTTGTTTGAATTAAGGCCAGTTAAAGTTGAGAAAAAACTGGCATACCATTGAAAAGTGAATGTAAGTGGACGGTATAATATGCAGTCTCAGCCTACAGCACGTGAGGTGACACTGGCACATGATGGGCATTTCACTAACAGCCAATTAATGCTGAAATGCATAGAAGCATTGAACAGCTGTTTCCCTTTATTGGGAATGGTCAGCTGTGTTCACCGCACGCATTTCTATCTGAGAAGCCAAAACGTGTGAATACTTGATGTAGGTTCCTTGAGTGAAGAATGAACGGGGCTTCCAAGTGCGAGCAAATAACACTGATGCTTAGGCCCTTGTGACCAGTCGATTAGATGTTCAAACTACTAACCGGGAGGTTAGTAGGAGTCCGGAACTCTCTGGAGTTTCAGGAGACGTCAAAAAGTAATGACTCCAAATAAGGATGAAGCAGCTGTGCAGTCCTTCACGGCTCTGCAGCATAAATTACCCTCCTTAGAGAACGAAAGGTTACGTTCGTGACATTTGGCGATAATGTCTTTCAGATGTGATTATCCATACTAATCTAATAATATAAATATCTGGACTGTTATTGGTTGTTGATCAGGTGGCTGTTGATCTGTTCGCCAAGCTTGGCAATTGGCTTGCAAACGTTTCGTCACCATAAGAGGAGACATCATCAGTGCGCAGTTGATGATGATGCGCACTGATGATGTCTCCTCGTATGGTGACGAAACGTTTGCAAGCCAATTGCCAAGCTCGGCGAACAGATCAACAG